GGAGGTGAGCAGAGGAGTGGGGATGGGCAGGGGGAAATCATAGGGTCACACAATTTAATGGGTGGAAGGAGGAGTGGGTAAAGGAAATGGGAAAGATCTGGTGTGAAAAAAAGGTATATGAACTTTGTAAGTAAACCAGTATAAAATAAATAATAATTTTTTTAAAAAGTAAAAAGTTGTGTCCTACACAGTCTTTGAGCTACAGGCAGGGACCAGTATGAAGAGGAAAATGCTCACCTCTGGGACAGAAAGGCAAAACTCGGGCCAGGCCCTCGGGTCCAGCCAGAAAGCTTTCATTCAGGACCACCCCAGCTCTGGCAGCAACAGCCATGCCTCACTGGAGCAGGCTGGGCAGTGTCCAAGCTGAGCAGGCCTCAAGTTTGGCCCTAGCTTTGGCCAAAAGCTTTGGAGTCAGCACTTAACTTTACCACCAACGCTGCTGTTCTTCTTTATGCCTACGCCTTCTGCCCTGAGAGGCAGCTGGACTTCAACCTCCCTCAGCTTGTCACCCGTAAGGTGTGAGCTGGAGTGAGGCTAGGAATGTGTCTCAGCCTGTCACCCGTAAGGTGTGAGCTGGAGTGGGACTAGGACCTGAGCTAGCCAGCCTGGAAGCCAGGATTGAATGTCTGCTGAGGTTTAAATAGCTAGGCAGGCAGCTCTCAGGGGCCCAGGAGAAGTAAGAAGTCAGTCCTGACTGCAAGCGCCAGGCTTCCAATGGCTTCTGGCTCACACAACGCCTGCTGGCCCAATTCCTCCTGTGCAGCCATGTCCCTCGTGAGCCAGTCCTTCTGCAGGCTAACCACTCCAATTCCCTCAGTCCTTTCTCACATGGCCTAGTCCCAGATCTAGCCACGACCTGGCGGCCAGCCATCTGTCTGTCAGATAGATGTAGTCTCCCTCCACGTGTGGTCTGAGCAGGTGCCAGAGGCGCTGGACTAACACCTCCTCTCTGTGGACCCTTCTCCTCACTTCGTGCAGCTCAAGCCAGAGAAATATTTCCAGAAATAGCACCAGATCAAGGAAGCCAACTGCAGTTGAAATGGATCCCCCATCCCAAGGCCTTTATTCAGGCCACATCCCTCTCTTCAGTCTTTTGACTCATTTTAAGGCTTTGTGAACAGAATGTTAAGTTTACTTTTTCATATTCTATTTTGTTAACTTTCCCTGTGGTTTCAGTCTGCAAATAACAACAATAAACTCATCAATTTCCATGGAGTCAATTCTGACCACTGGTGACCTACGTGATACAAAGCAGGCTGACCTGTGCTCCACTTTGGAAGCAGACCTCAGGCTATTCTTCCTACGTGACTCTAGGTGAGCTCCACACACCAACCTTTCATCTAGAAACCGTTTGCACCACTCAGGGATACCAATAATAGTAACAATGAGGGCTTGTTGCTCACTAAAAACTTTATCTAGAGCTTTACATATCCTCTTCATAACAATTCTATAAAATAGTATAGCTTTATTTTATAGGTGGGAAATATGGGCACAGAGAAGTTAAGTTACTTGCCCACAGCTACACAGCCAGGCATGAAGTCTGCACTTGAAACCATCCAAGGCCTAGTGGGTAAGGAGTTTCACTGTCAGCCCAAAGGCAGATGATTCAAATCTGAAGCTGCTCTGTGGGAGAAAGGTGGGGAATCTCCTCCTGTGACTTTTACAGCCTCTAAAAATGTGTTGGAAGGTCACCTATGGGTCTATTTGGACTTAACACCAAGGAGGGGTTGTTGGTTTTTAAAATGTTTTAAACCAACCTTCAATAAGGATTAGATCTCAACATCAAGAAAACAAAAATCTTTGCTACTGGGCCAACAGGCAATATCATTATAGATGGAGAAAAGATGGAAATTGTCAACAACTTCATCTTACTTGTATCTACAATCAATACTCTTGGTGCCAGCAGTCTAGAATTCAGAAGACTTGTTGCATTGGGAAAGTCTGCTGTCAAGGGCTTCTCCAAAGTACAAAGGAGCAATGATGTCAGGTTAAACACTCAGATGTAGCCTAAATCAGGCTACCTCTGAGAGTTGCACAATGAATAAGGATGACAGAGTAAGACTTGATGCCTTTGAGCTGTGTTGGGGAGAAGAATATTGAATATCCCGTGGACTGCTATAAGACTGAACAACTCTTGTCTTGGAGAGAGCACAACCAGAGTGCTCCTTAGAGGAGATGATGAAGGTTTGTTTCACTTTGGGCAAGTTGTTAGAAGGGACCTATTCCTTGGAAAGGGACATCATGCTTGGAAAGGTGAAGCGTCAGTGAAGGAGAGAAAGACCCTCAATGAGATGGACTGACATAGTCACTGTAGTAATGAACTCAAGTATATCACAGATGATGAGAATGACACAGGATATAGGAAAGGGCTCAGATTTTTTGTTCATAGGTCACTGTGAGTTGCACTCAAGTTGACAGCACCTAATAACAACAACAGCAACAACTAGTAAGGTATACTCCTCTGAGCTCTCACCTCTCAGCATTTCACCGTCACTCCCCCTATGGAGCAGCCAAAGCCAGATTCTAAGCCTAAACCAAAAAGAGTATGCTGGCACAATGGTTGTTAACTCTGCTTGACTGTATGACTATACCAGCTGCTCCACTCCACAGGAGAAAAGACTTAGCAATCTGCTCCCATGAGGATAGGAAACCCTCTGGGGCATTCTCTTTTATGATGTAGGGTCACTGTGAGTTGAAATCAACTCAGCAACATTAAAAAAAAAAAAACAACCCAGCATATCTCTTCCAAATCATTGGTGATGAGAAAAAGACTGTGCTGGCCCAGTACTGATGAGATTTGGGACAGCACACAACACCACCGCCATAAAAGGCCCAGGGAAAAGAGAGCATGTCCTGATGTCTAGGAGAGGGATTGTACACAGACGTTAGGGAGAGGAAGAAACTGCACTCCAGGGTTCAATGAACCCAGACTTGAGCCCCAGCCCTGTGGCTGCATCCTTGCTTTATGATTTGGGGCACGCTGCTTGGTGTTTCTGAGCCTCAGACTCTTCATCTGCAGAATAAGAAAAGTGGAAGTGTCTGTCCTACCCCGAAGAGAGCTCCAGTGCTCTGGTCCTAAGGGAGCAGTTGCACCTCCAAGTCCACTTCGCTGGTGTTTTAAATTCACCAGCAGCTCCATAGGAGAAAGGCAAAGCTCTTCCCGCGTGATTTCCAGCCTCAGCAACCCAATGCAGGGTCAGCTATGAGTCAGTGCCGACTTGACTGCAATGAGCTGGAGTTTTGTCCTACTGTGATGTGACAAGGATCCAAGGAGAAGTTGGCCCATTTGTTCATTCTCTACCAGCATACATTGATTCCCCTGCTCCATGCTGAGACCTTGTTCTTCCAAGGTCAGGATAATGTGCATACAGTGTCTAGGATTCAGGCCAGCACATACAAAGGTCACAATAAATGCAAGCAACTGCTGTGGTTGGAAGAGAGTGGTGGCTTAGTGGTAAGAAGTGGAAGAAGCGGTAAGAAGCTGTGCTGACAACCCAAAGGCACAGTTTGAATCCACCAGCTGCCCTGCAGGAGAAAAAAGGGCAAGAAAGATGGCAATCTCCTTTGATGTCTTTAAACTGCCGCTGAAAATCCGCCCGAGCTCACCTACGGGTCTGTTTAGAACCGTGGTGCTTAAGAATATAGCAATAGAAAAGGGGGGAAAAAAAAAAGAATATAGCAATAGCCATGGTTGAGATTGGCTTCCTGGTCACACGAGAGCCCGCCCAGTCTTACTTGTTGAAATTTCGGTACTCGGCAGGGTTGGGGGTGTGACTGCGGCCATCGCCCTGGTAGTCCTGGTAACTGACGAACTCCTGCCACGGGCAGCGGTAGCCCTTCGGGATGGCCGTGTGGTTGAACTTCTCGGGCGGGATGCCCTTCAGCGGCTCGGCGTAGCCTGCGGGCGGGTCGGGCGCGTCGGAGGCTGCAGGCAGGGGGCGCGCGCTCCCTTCTCCCGCCCCACCCGCCGCCGGGTCCCGGGACTGACCAAAACTAGGACAGAGGCGAGCAGGGGCGGGTCGCCAGCTTGTCCAGCAAAGGGGACCCTTTCACACCCCGGGAAACGAGGGGGCTCTGCAGAGGAGCCAGAGGTGCTAGTCTGCCACGGGCACGCGGGGCTTCAATGTTTCGGACAAGACGCTTCCGAGGCCCCTCCATGCATGACTGCGGGCCCCCAGCCCTGGTCCCACAACCCAAGGAGGCCACTCACCCGGCGCCAGGGCGCTGGGGGTGCGGGCGCGCTCGGCCGTGGGGACTGGGGAGCGCGCGTCCCCCGGGACCCCGGACGCGGCCGGGTAGACGTGCAGCTCCGAGCGGTAGTTCTCCTGCGCCCCTGGGCCGTTGACAGCCTGCACAAAGAGGCGGGTGCTGAGGCGGCGGGAGACCCGACCCCAGCCCCCTCCCCGGAGCCCTTTTCTCCAAGTCCCCATCCCGTAGGGCTTACCTGCTCTCCTATCGTCCCTGGCTCCCCGGTTCTGGTCATCTTTCCTTTGGCACTTCCTGCTACAATCTGTAGGGGATAAATACATCACAGGTGGCTCAGCAGAGCAAGGAGCCAGAGTGCTCCCCAACCAAAACCTAAGAACATAGTCCCGACGTCCACCTTTCAGGGATTTGGAGAGTGTGTTAGGAGTGTAAAGCGCTAAGTAAACCTTTTTCTTCATCCAGCCTTTTGAGTTACCCATTTTAGGTAGAGCTCGAGGCTCTCCTAACTCTTGCATGTGGCAAATTGAACCCGGAGCAAATGACTGTTCTGGTTTTTGGTCCCCCGCCTCTCCCCCCCAAGCTAGAGTCCCTTTATCTACAGCTCATCCACTCAATATACTTTAAGTTTTATATCTGGACAAAAATGCCAACAGAAACGCTTGTAGGATCATGCTGGAGCTTGAGGGACTTGCCAGGGACCGGAGGCCTTCAGTCTGGTTCACGTGTGGCTTCAGGCTAACATTTACCGTCTCTGGGCATCCTTTCTCCCACAGGCACCAAGGGCCCACTCACCTCCCGTTGTCTGGCGGAAAGCTCAAAGGTGAACCTCTGCACACGGCGCTGTCTCTTCTGGAAGAGGAGGGAGCCCCGGTTGTTGCGCAGCGACAGCTCCTCCATCATCAGGTCCTGGGGTACACTCAGTTTCTTGCCCAGGTCCAGGGAAGGGACTGCCAGGAGACGCCGGAGTGAGCTCTCAGCCCTCAGCAGGGAAGGCCCTCCAGGCCACCTCCAGCCTGAAGGCACTGCCCCAGCACTGCTGGGCTGTGTGAAGATGCCACTGTCTCCCACACTGGCCAGCACTGGGTGCCATCATTCTTTGGAATCATTGCCCATTTTACAGGCAGAAAAGACTGATGCTGAGTGAAGCTGAGCACTGCATTAGAAGTTCAGAGCTCATTTGCATTCACTCCGTGAATTTCCTGTGCAGCTCTCTGCCCACCATACTAGCCATAGCGAGAAATGAGCAGATTCTAGATGACTTTTAAAATAAGCCTTGGGTGTGGGATGGGGTGTGTGTGTGCGTGCCTGTGTGTGTGTTTGTATGTGTGTGTGTGTTGGCCTGAGTCACTGGGGGAGGGAGAGGGAGCAGCCACTCACAGAGCCATCTAACCAAAATGGGAAAAATTAGGGGCACGGATGGAGTGAGGGATGAGAAGAAAGTTTGGAGAAAGATTTGGAGTTCTGTTTTAGACATGTGTTTTCTCATTTCAAAGTAGACTTTCATTATCATAAAAAAATCATGTGTGTGCATGAAGAAAGTTAAAAAAGTAGGTAAGATAAATAGAAAAACATCATTACGCAGTACTCAGAGACTGCTACTAGTCATTCTTTATTATATATCCTTTTCCATCTTTTCCAATAATTAATTCTTCATCAAGAACTCTGGTGGCCTAGTGGTGAAGAGATGCGCTGCTGACCAAAGACATGTGGTTTGAATCCACCAACTGCTTTCTTGAGATAGATGGGCAATCTCTTCCTATGTAATATACTGCCTCGGAAAACCCCCTGGGGGGGGGTGTCAGCTATGAGTTGGTTTTGACTTGACACCACGTAACAACAATTCTTCATATATGAGTTTGGTTTTTTAATTATTACTAATTTTCATTAAAATTTACAGAAATTTTTTATTTCCATTCATTCGCTGTTTTCTACCTGCCCACCCCTCCACCCTAGTTCTCTCTTCTCTTTGAAAAGTAGAAGAAAAATTCTTTCATTATTATACAATCCCTCCCCCCAAGTCCACTCCACTATGCTGCTGCATTCTGGACTTTTGTCATGACAATAATACCTAATCATATATCCCTTTTAAACAGTTCTCTCCCTCATCTCTTTCAGTGCATTGTACATTATTTATCCCGTCTTCCTCAGTCTCCCCTCAACCCCGATGTCAGTCCTGTTTTACAACAGTGGCACTATGCAGTATTTGTCCTTTTGTGACTGATATATTTCACTCAGCATAATGTCCTCCCTTATGGTCACCCATTCTTGAATAATATTTCATGAGTTCCTTGTTTTAAACGAAAATGAAAACATGGATAATATGTTTTGTGACTTGCTTATCTCAACGAATGGCCTCCACTTTCAAAGTGAACACTTAAAAAAAAATCCAATAGTTCACATTCAAATTGCCCCAGCTATTGCCAAAATCAGTCATTTTAAGTTTGAGAAGTTTACAGGGGTCCAAGTGGAGATGCAGAGGAGGGAAGAGGGTCTATGATTCTGGTGTTAATGAGGGAGAACTGACCTGCACACAGAAAATGTGGGCATCATCAGTTTATAAATGGTATTTTGATCTGGAAGCCTAGATGAGATCAGCAAAGGACTGAGAATAAATAGAAAAGAAATCCAAAGGTTAGACCCTGCAGCTGGCAACATTTAGATCAAGGAGAAGAGGGGAACCAGCTCAAGAGCTGAGAAGGTGCACCCTATGAGGTAGGAAGAAATAAAAGGCGTGTCCTGGAAGCCAAATGATGAGTGTTTGTTTTTAGGAAGACGGGGGTGGTCAGTGGATCAAATAATGCTAATACACTGAATACAACCATGACTGGACAGAGACTGGACACTATATTTAGCAACACTGAGTCATTTGTAATCTCGACAGGAGGAGTTTCTATGCAGTGTTTGGATGTGAAAACCTAATTAGAATAAGTCCAAGAAAATAAATGGACAGAGCAACAAGTCTGGCCACACCACAGGAAGCAATGAGGCAAATCTAGATTGTGGAATATTCAGTAGGGCCATTGATTTCTTTCTTCAAACAAGTCAACAACATGGAGAAAAAGTTGAAGGGTTCCCATTTCAGATGAAAGGAGACTTTGGACCTGAAAGGGAGCTCCAGTAAGATGCACAACCCCAAGGCTGTGCATCTCTGGCGGTTCAAATCCACCAGTCGCTCTTCAGGAGAAAGGTGGACATCTCCTTCCATCTGATTTGCAGTTTCAGAAACCCAAGAGAGGGTCAACCAGAAGTCAGTTCCAATACAACAGTAATGAGTGAGTTTAAATATTGAATAAAACAAGCTAATCATAAAATGATCTTGTGTGGAAATTGGAGAAAGTTGAATATAGAGTTGGCTAATAATCAATGTTAATTTTGTTTAAGGGGTTATTATATTTGTGGCTATGTAAAGAAATGTCTTATTTTTTCCAATAATTATTTTTATTTATAGATGCATCCTTTCTCCTTACCTTTTCAATCTTTATGCAGAACAAGGAGGCTGGGATTTATGAGGAAGAATGTGGCATCAGGATTGGAGGAAGACTCATCAACAACTTATGTTATGCAGATGACACAACCCTGCTTGCTGAAACTGAGGAGGACCTAATGAGCTTGATACAGAAAGTCAAGGACTGTAGTCTTCAATATAGATTGAAGCTCAACATCAAGAAGACAAAGATTCTCACCACTGGGCCAATTGACAGCACCATGATGGATGGAGAAGAGATTGAGGTTGCTAACAGTTACAGTTTGCATGGCTCCACACTCAACACTCTTGGCACTACCAGTCAGGAAATCAAAAGATGAATTGTACTGGGGAAATCTGCTGTCAGGGACCTGTCCAAAATACTGAGAAGCAGCAATGTGAGTCTAGAGACTAAGGTGCACCTGATTCAGGCCATGGTCTTTGAAATCACTTGCTATGCATCAGAGAGCTGGACAAAGACTAAGTATGACAGAAGAATTGGTGCCTTTGAGTTGTGCTGGAGAAGAGTCTTGAACGTACCATCAGTGGGTGGCATTTTGATCTTGGAGCCTAGATGAGATTACCAAAGGAGTTAGAAAAAATAGATAATAAATATATTTTTCCAATAATTATTTTTATTTGTGGTGAAATATATATATATATATACTGTAGAATGAATAAAGAAGACCAAATAAGAGTTGATGCCTTTGAATTGTGATGTTGGAAAAGAGTATAGAATATAATGTGAATTAGAAAAACCCCAAACATATCTGTTTTGGAGCAAGTGCAACCACAGTGCTCTTTAGAGGCAAGGATTTTGAAGCTTTGTCTCACAAATGTTGGTCATACTGCCAGGAGGTGCCAGTCCTTGGGAAAAGACATCAGGCTGGGGAAGGTGGAGGGTCAGAGAAAGAGAGGAAGACTCTCAACAAGATGAACTGACACAGTGACTGTCACAAAGGGCATGACCGTGATGGAGAGTGTGAGGACCGCACAGGATAGGGCGCCATTCAGATCTGTTGTTCATGGAGTCGCTGTAAGTTGTAGTTGACTTGATGGCACCTGTCTCTGACGTTGCTGTTGTTAAGTGCTGTTGAGGCAAGTATGACTCATAACAACCTATCTGAACACTGTTGTATCCCTTGCCATTCACACAGTCCCTGACACACTCCAGCCCCTTGTGGCAATCTACCTGGTTGAGCATCTTCCTTTCTTCCACGCTCCTCCACCTTTCCAAAACTGATGTCTATTTCCAAGGAATAGACTCTCCTAACCACATGCCCAAAATACGTGAGGTGAAACACCATCAGCTTTGTCTCTGAAGCACTCTGGCTTCATCTTTTCTGTGACATCTCTGCTTGCTCTTTTGGCAGACCAGGGGATGTTCAATACTCTTCTCCAGCATAACTCAAAGGCATCAGTCCTTCTTCTGTTATCTTTATTTATCCAACAGCCCTCAGCTACATAGCAAGTGATTGAAATGACCATGGTCTGAATCAGTTGCACCTTTGTCCTCCCACTGACGTTATTACTATTCAGTTTTGAAGAGGTTTCTGACTGTCGATTTTCCCAGTGCAATTTGTTTCCTGATCTCCTAACTACTGACACCAAGTGTACTGATTGTGGATCCAAGTGAAATGAAGTTGCACAATATTTAGAGGCATTGTACAATATTTAGATGGTCTCAAACCTTTCTCTGTCCCTCATGATGTTGCCTATCAATCTAGTGGCAAAGATTTTTGTTTTCTTGATGTTGAGATGCAATCTAGCTATATTGCAGGCTGCATTGTTTAGCCTTGTGCAGGAAGCGTTTCAAGTCCTTCTCAGTTTCAATGAGCAAGATTGTGTCTTTTGCATAACGAAGGTGATTGAAAAGTCTTCCTCCGATCCTGATGCCGCATTTTTCTTCATGGAGTCCAGCTTCTCAAATAATTTGCTCAGCATATAGATGAAATAGGTATGGAGAAAGGATACAACCGTGATATATACCTTTCCTAATTTTAAATCCTGCAGTATTCCCTTGCTCTGTTCTCACAACAGCCTCTTGGTCTAGGTATAGGTTTTACACAAGCACAATCAAGTGTTCTGGAATTCCAATTCTTCTCAATGTTACCCATAACTTGTTATAATCCACATAGTCAGATGTCTTTGTATAGTCAATAAAGCACAAATAGACATCCTCTTGGTGTTCTTTGCTCTCAGCCAGGATCCATCTGATATCAGCAGCTATATTTCTCTGATGCCATGGTCTTTTCTAAATTCAGCTTGAACGTCTGGCAGTTCGCTATGTACTGTTCTAGCTGATTTTGAATGATCTTCAGCAGTGTTTTGCTTGCATGATATTGTTGGATAATTTCTACATTCTGTTGAATCTCCTTTTTTGGGAATAGGAACAAACATTGATCTCTTCCAGTTGGTCAGTCACTCAACTGTTCTCCACATTTCCGCGCATAGACTTGTGAGTACATCCAGGGCTGCATCTGTCATCTGAAACATTTCAAATGGCATTCGATCTATTCCTGAGGCCTTATTTTTTTGCTAATGTCTTCAATATAGCTTGAATTGCTTCCTCCATTATAAATGGTTCTTGATAATATGGTACTTCTTGCAATATTT